ATTCTGAAATAAAAAACATGAATTTGTAAAAAAATTTTCTTATTTCAGAAACAATTTTTTTCTTTTTTTAAATCAGCAGTGGGGACAAGTGAGGGAATGACATATTGGTATATTTTAATTACCTAAAATAAATAAAAAATAAAAATTGATAATTTTATTTTTATTCTTTTGTTAGCTTGCATTCTGAAGGACACTTTTCCTGAAAATTTTTTTTTCGTAAGTTGTAAAACAAACATAAAATGTACTGGGGACATGAAAATGACTGTTTTTGTGAGAATGAGCCATATAAAGCATGCAGTTCTTTATAAAAGAGCTCCTTTTCCATACTGTCCTTGTCTTCAGTTGGAGCATGAAAGGTAATGAAACTGTAGTTGAAAAAAGCTCCCTTAATCCTAATTTTACATAGTCTGGATGATTTGGTGACATAATCTATTAATAATGGCTTTATCCTTTTACTCAGGATAAAGCCTGTTCCAAATATGTGTTTCTTCTTATCACAACTATAGATAACTGTGTGATTTTTCTTTTCAATTATTTAAGTTGTGTTTAAGTTTGTTAAAATCATTGCATATCTTAAAAATTCTTTGTTTTATGTATGTGAAGTTTTTTTAGTTTGATTTTAAGCAGTATGACATGCTATAGGGACCCTAAACATTTATGCACCCGAGGACCCTGCTTGCAATTAAGACAACCCTAAATCCACCATTAAAAAAAAAGTTATTATGTACTCAAATTCGTACAACATAATAATATCATATTAGAAATATCAGAATTTGAATGAAAAAAAAGAAGAAAATACGGGGAAGTGGCTGAAAAAAGGATCATAAGCCTCTCTAATTGGGCAAATCAAAAGTAATTACTCAAGTTTAAAATTCATGTGTCATAATGAGATGAATTAAATTAAATCATCCCTAACTAAGTACATCAGAAATTGTATCTCAAATTTAAAATTCATGTGTCATAATGAGATGAATTAAATTAAATCATCCCGAACTAAGTACATCAGAAATTGTAACTCAAATTTAAAATTCCTCGGTCATAATGTTACCTTATTAAAAGTATCAGAACTTGAAAAAACTATAAAAAAAAAATTTCGAAAAACCATATAGATATTTGAGAAAAGTGCTGGAAATAGACCTTTTTATTTATTTTTAATACAATGGGCTCATTATCATAACTGAAGGGCTAATGGGTTATGTTTTCCTCACAAAAAAAGTTAGACTAATTTGAAGGACATGAACTGAAAGAGTAGAAATTTAATTAAAATTAAGATTAATGATCTAACAAATGAAATTCAAACTAACTGGATTGGAAAATGTTATGAAGAAATAGAACTTTTTCAAACTTTTAAAGGAAGCAGAAAGTGATTGATGAAAAGAAATTTTGAAAAAACGATGAGTCTAAATGCTAATTTAAATGAAACTGAATGCTCTGTGTGTGTTTTTCTGAAGCCTTAGTAAAGAATGATAAAACCATAGGAAAATTAGTCACTGTATTTTTTTTTTTCAGTCTCATAAACAAAATTCATAAGCTGAAATTTGCAATAATTAGCAATAGAATGTTTTTTTTTTTTTTTTTTTAACAGAAGAATATATTTTGAACGAATATTGTTTTCTAGTGACAAATTTTTATTATGAAAAAAGCTAAAGGAGAGATAATAATTTTAACTGTTAGATACCATTCTAAGTATATTTTTGGACTGTTAAAGGCACCGAGCTATCATAACCAAGGACTGAGTTCAATTCCCAGTGATGGCACACCACTGCAGGCAGTCTGCCTGCAATTCTGCCCAAAATGCCTCGATCACACCATAAGGCCGGCATAGCTTGATTAGTAGTGCACTGAGCCCATGTCCAAGAGATCTCCGGCCGGCCGAAGTCTCCCCGTGTAGTAAATGGTGACTGATGCACGTTAAATCTATCGAGTCACAAGGTCCTCCATTGTTTGCATAACAAATCATACCTCTGGGGATACTGATCTAGGATTTTCTTTGTCTTCTGGATTGGTTCAAAATTTCAAGGCTACAGAGTTGAACATTAGTTGTCATAAACCCAAAATTGAGTCGGCTATTAAATGACAGCTATAAAATAAAATAAAATAATGCCCTAAGTTTCAAAACTATGGAGCCTTAACCTCCATAACACACAGCGGGCTGTTGTGTGAATACTTTACTTTTTTATTTTCATCATATTTGAGCTCAGCCTGTTTGTTCTGTTAAAACTATCCACTCATTGTAATTTATTTATTTGCAGATTTTGAATGAAATAGAACAGTATCGTTCCCTAGCTGAGAAAGGCTCTCTGGAGGCCCTGCAGATTCTACAAGAAAGACGTTCTTAATTTACCATTGTTTCATTTATTAAACCTCAGAATATTTAATCTTTTATTTTAAAATAATGATATGTTAAAGTTTAAAATCTTTCTCTTTTTTAAATATCAGATGTTTTATTTACATATTTGATACCTATGTATATTATATTTATATGGAAAAAAAATCTTAGACATTTGGATTTTACTCATTTGTTTATAGATGCATTTTTATCATTTTATTTTTACTTTTTAATCTAGGAAATTTAATAAAATGTCTCAATGTGCCAATCAATGTATGAAATAACACTTCCAATTGTAAAAAATGCAGTGAAACACTTTTAAGGATTTTTTCTTTCAAAGAAATTACTTCTTATACATTATAACTATTTCCTATTAAAAAAAACTCATAAATGTATATAATTAGTTTGTTCAGCAAAAATTCTTGTTTATTTTATACCCTAAATTTCCAACTTTTTTTTTTTCTTTTTCCGATCACTGCTGATTTTGAAAGTCAAGAACTTTTCATATCCCTTAGAAAAAAAAGGGAGGGAAACAATATTGATAAATGTATGATCAAAATATTAAACTTAATGATACAATATTGTTTATGTTGATTTTTTTTATATTCTGAAAATTGATTAATTACATTATATCGATTTTAATAATATAACTTGTGTATAATCATGAGAAACACAGTGCCATTCAGCATTTAAATTGTTGAAATGGGTATTATAGTATTTTAATGTATTTGTCAAAAAGTACTTTTAAAAAAATTTATATTTTTAAAGGTAAATATTATATGCCGAGTTAAAAATCTTAGTTACAAAACTAAAAAAATTATGAATTTTATTGTGTGCTCAATACTAGTTTCTTACCTACCTCAAATACCTATAATTTTGCTAACACTCCTTTAAAAGACCTGAACAACCACATTAGGAACCTATGCTTTATACTATCAACACATAATGGAATTAGGGGTGGAAGTGCGAAAGAAAGGGTGCACTTTTAGAAAATCTGTATGTTTATCTAAGTTCCTACTATCTGTATTGTGCTCATGTGCGTGTCTTTGCATGAGACACGTTTTTCTTAAACAAGCATGAATGTCAAAAAATAAAAAGTAGCCCCACTATCAAGGCAGCTAACTGTTTTTTACAAGGTTTTTGTCACGTGATTTTATTTTTTAAGATTTATATACTTTTATTTTTTTGTGTTTTTATTCTTTTTTTTTTCGCGTTTCTAAAAAAAAAATTGGCAGTCTAGGAAAACTTTTTAAACTGGAAAATTAAAATAAATAAATAAATCTCTTAAAAGGGTTAATTTAATAATGTAGTAATAAGGGACAAAATGATAATAAGATTACAAAATACTTAAATTGAAAAACTTTTTAACAGGTTTCACTACATTGTTTCATAATTCATATCACTTCATTCTAAAAGAATTTTCATGTTTGTGCTGTATATTGGTCAAGAACTTTTACTTAAAACAAATTGTTGGCCAACTTAAGATAGATCTGAGAGAAATTATTTTATTATGTATTCATTTTCTAAAAGTTTTGAGTTAAGGAAAGCTTGTGTTACCTACATTAAAGCAACAGAAATGTAAACATGAAAATTTCTCCAGTTTTCTTTTCTGTAGTTTGAAAAAAAGTTGCAAAACAAGTATTAAAAAAGATATACAGTGCAAAGTTCCATAATGAGACATTAGTATCCCGGTAATGTCTCTTTCCCAACATTTTCTAACAATCAAAATAAACAAAACTCTTCCTTTTTCAAAAAAAAAAGTATTCAGGAATGAAAATGCTCTACTTTACTCCTTCTTTATAATTTTTACCAGGCGTCCAATTTTTGTTTGACTTTAATCCGATTTCTGCTACAATATGAAAAGAAATTGGATATCACGGAAGCAAAAATTTGGTATTTCACTACAACATGTAAAAAATCGTGTATCCCTTTCCTTCTATTTTGCAGAAAGTGATCATTACCGCTAAGAATCACACACTTAATTTCTGAGTTCTCAAAAATTTCACATTCTGAAAAAGTAGCAAATTTGGGATGAAATTGTCACAACCAAAGCAGATCATAAAGTGATTATTCAAAAGCATGATTCGGAATTCGTGGATCAAAATATATTAAAAATAAAATTGCAATTTTGAAAAGTATGAAAATCCCAAATTTTTGAAAGTGCGATCAACAAAACCACTGACAATAAAATCATGACAAATCGAGTGCATCAAAAAGTAATTCTTCAAATTCTAGATTCGAAATTTCCCATTCCCATGTATGATAATGTAGCTTTAAAAAGCTATGAAAATCAATAGAAATCATTGACAAAAATGCGATCATAAATTCATGTGGGATTGCGTGTGAATCGTCAATAATTGAGTGTGAAATATGTTATACAAATTTTGCTGAAAGGAACAATATTGTATTATTAAAACATTCAAGTTTTAAAAACTACAACAACAACAAAAAAAGATCGGTAAAACCATGCGTGATTTAGATTGGCATATTAATAGTATCGAGATTTTAAATACCATGTGAAAATCTGCGAAAACAGTGCTACACCACAAACCGCTTGGATTTAATTGATAAGGATATTTTGATGTTTGTTTACCTTAAAGACCTTTTATCCTGAAAAATCTATTTTGTCGAAGTCCCTACAATCCCAGATACGGGACTTTCCACTGTATATATTTGATTTTCTGCTCATTTAAAAAGTAATGTATTGCATTTATTATGCTAGTTTTATGACAATGCTCAATTTTATAATATGTTCATGTATAGGTAGTGCTTGTTCTTATTCTCATATTTTTCAAATACAATTTTTGTCCAAAGATTCAAATTTGTTGGGCAGCTTAGCAATGTTAAACAGGAAATGTTAATTAAAGAAAATTGGGTAATATGCAGCTTTGTATATTTTAATACCCAAAACGCGAATAGAATAATATTTTAAACTATCAAAAATATTACATTTTAACATTGAGCTAAACATTCATAGTCATTGGATTTTTCTAATCTTTAGAAAAAAAACTTCTGATTGTTTCAAAAATTCACTTGATATTTCAAAATTCAGTGTGTTTTGTTTATTTTTGAAAGTCTGAACAATAGCAGTAGAATTGTTTTTCTTTTCATCTCTCAAAACATACATTTGTTTTACCATCACAATAAATCTTATTTTAAACATCATTTACTGATGTTTTGTTACGTGAAATTTATTTCACTCATCGAGAACAAACAAAAGTCTTACTTGATTATTTAATGTTTTGTATAAATTGAAAATTTGTTACCAGTTTTTCAATTTATTTCACCAGTTATAAAATTTCAATCAGTCTCATAAAAATTTTGAAAATATTTAATTGAATTATAAGCTTAATGTATAAAATACTCTTAGTTTGTTACTTTTTTTGGGCAAATTAAGTTTTTCTTATCCCCCCGCTACAGATTTACAACATTCTTCACCAATTTTGTAACTGCCCTATGTTCATAAAGTTCACTTGTATTTCAAAATTCTTGCTGATTAACTTCAATCAGTATTTAGAATTTATATGTAATCACTTCACTTAAGCATATTAGTTTATTTTAAAATCTCTATAATAGTAGATATAGTTAGATATCTAATTCAGAAAAAGTTACTAGTTTGCTCAACAAAAACAAAACTATTGCTAGTATGAAATATGTAAAATATTCATGAACTTTTAGAATGGAAAAAAAATTTTTATATTTTTGTTTTGTGCCAGCATTGGATGCTGCTTGTCTTGGATATTTTTTTGTCATAAATTACTTATTAATTATTTTTAAACATCATTTTATGATAAATTCTGTGCTATACTATTTTTATTTAAAATAATATATGATAATCATGATTTATTATGGATTAAGTTTAACATTTATGAAATTGTGCTAGTTGCTGTGAATTACTTGTATTTAACTTAAGAAAGCATTAATATATAATCAAATTTCTTGAAACCAGGATTGACAAAATTCATGATTTAAAAAAAATTGTTTCATTTAATTTAAATCAAATTTTTCTTTTATTTAAAGGTTTTTTTTTTAAATTTTTATATTTACTAGCCAAATTATCTGATATTATCTTAACAGTAATTAATATTATTTAAAAGCAATACTATAGCTAAAATAGTAGAAATTTCTAACTAAGATATTTCAAAAATGACAGAAAAAATAAAATCACAGTTATTTTTGTTCAAGCTAGTTGTTGTGTGAATTATTTGTATTTAACTTAGGAAAACATTAATGCACATTCAAATTTCTTCGACAAAGTTCATGATTTTATTTTTCAACTGTCAATGAACAGCTGCCTCAATTCTGGGTTTACGACTATCAATGTTCAACTCCGTACCCTTTAAATTTTGATCCCAATGCAGCAGACAAGAGAGCTTCTGGATCAGTACCCCCAGAGGTATTGATTTGTTATGGGAACATGGAGGACTTTCTGACCCGACAGATTTAACGTACATCAATCCCAATTTACTGCACTGGGAATCTTCAACCGTCGGGGTTCGAGCCCACAATCTCTTCGACATAGGCCCAGTGCCCTACAAACCAATCTATCCCATCCCGAAAATTCATGATTTTAGAAAAAAATCAGTTTCATTTAATTTAGATTTTTTTTTAAACTTTTTTATATTTACTACCCAAGTTATCTGATAAAATAAATTAACGGTGCTTAATATTATTTAAAAACAATAATATAGCTAAAATAGTAGAGATGTTTAATAGTAAATAAAGGAAGCACGGTCCCTTCTAAGATTAAAATTTTTCACTTAATGTTTATGTAATTTTGAAAATTTTAAAAAAAATTTCTATTTCAAGTGAGATTTAATATTTCNTTTCATTAAAATATGAATTATAAGATATTTCAAAAATGACAGAAAAAATAAAATCACAGTTATTTTTGTTCAAGCTAGTTGTTGTGAATTATTTGTATTTAACTTAGGAAAACATTAATGCACATTCAAATTTCTTCGACAAAGTTCATGATTTTATTTTTCAACTGTCAATGAACAGCTGCCTCAATTCTGGGTTTACGACTATCAATGTTCAACTCCGTACCCTTTAAATTTTGATCCCAATGCAGAAGACAAGAGAGCTTCTGGATCAGTACCCCCAGAGGTATTGATTTGTTATGGGAACATGGAGGACTTTCTGACCCGACAGATTTAACGTACATCAATCCCAATTTACTGCACTGGGAATCTTCAACCGTCGGGGTTCGAGCCCACAATCTCTTCGACATAGGCCCAGTGCCCTACAAACCAATCTATCCCATCCCGAAAATTCATGATTTTAGAAAAAAATCAGTTTCATTTAATTTAGATTTTTTTTTAAACTTTTTTATATTTACTACCCAAGTTATCTGATAAAATAAATTAACGGTGCTTAATATTATTTAAAAACAATAATATAGCTAAAATAGTAGAGATGTTTAATAGTAAATAAAGGAAGCACGGTCCCTTCTAAGATTAAAATTTTTCACTTAATGTTTATGTAATTTTGAAAATTTTAAAAAAAATTTCTATTTCAAGTGAGATTTAATATTTCCATGGTCTAAGCTTTTACTAAATCATCCCTTACTCATCCCCTTGCAGAAGAAATATATCCCCCAATCGTCGACCGATAGGAAAATTCTTGTTTTTAAATGTCACAGCAAACAGAATAATAATAATATTTTTTTTATTAAAAAAAGCAAAACAAAATAAAAACAATACAGTTAAATGAGAGATAAATAATTTACCGGTAAACAATTACTTAGTTTATTTTAGTTTTAAAACAGTCCAAATTATGAAAATGAAATTGCTGGTTCAAATTGTTGAATTTGGGACCGGTTAATACTAATATACACAACAAGGGAGAGAGTCCCTTCACTTTTGAGGTACTTCTGTGATCACTGTATGCATGGTAGGGGTGCACAACCTTGAGTGAAGAGCCACTTGAACAGCAGGTTAAATAACAAAGGGCCGCATGCATATTTAGACATGTTAACCGCAAATAACAAACTTTTTATATAAACATCAGCACTAATTTTTTTATCAGCCTGTTATACCATTAAACATGGAATTTATCAGTAATATTTTCAGAAAATATAAATACTTTTAATTATTGAAATTCATTCAAAAATGAAAAAACTGATGCTCTTGGAAAAAAAATCCCTTTTTATCAAAATATGATATATTCAAAAACTGGTTAAAAGAATTTTTTTTTTTTGTCATATCACTTAGTACAAAAAATCATTTTAAATAAATTCAAACTTTAAAAAAAAAAAAAATTATCTTTACAGAATGAAAATATAAAAAATCAATAAATACATATTTTGATGAATAATATAAATTCAAATTGAATATTTAAATTGAGGAACATTTATAGGATTTAAACAAAAATTAAAATGAAACCATTATAGTACAAAATAAAATTAAATATCTGTTTGGTATTATACTTCAGATATTATTTCTATTTCTTGAATTATTAGAGATTTCATGAATTTTAAATAGGAAACGTTTTCTTTTTTCCCTGAAAAAATCACTTAAGTTTCAAAAAATTACAAACAGTGAGCAGCTTAAAAATTCACATTTTCTGACACTTTTCGAATTCTCCATGTTGCAATTACATTGCATAAAAATATCAGGATTCTGCATTAGTTTGCATTAAAATATCGGAATACATATTCCTAATTGCTGACAAAACGGTGGAAGAATAATTTAAATTGACGTGAAATATGACACAAAATTCCATTAAAAAGTTATGACTTTTATAATGAAATGCACGATCAAGAACTAGCATGTTGTAATAACATTGTAGTGGGCAAAAAACGGAATCGTCAAAATCACTTGGAAAAACATTGCAAAAGGAAAAAATAATCGCTTAAATTAGCTATGAAATCATCACGAATGAAGCATGACAATAAGTAATTATTTAAAATTCGCATTTCATTATAAAATTCAGAATTTTTAAAACTAGTGGAACTTTCAAAAAAAAATTTTTTTAGTTTACAATGAAATCGACGTAAATAAAGAGTGTAAAAAGTGTGTGATTAAAATATTAAATGCATGATTTAAAACAAGTTGTATCGTATATTATAGTTAATTCAGCTCTTGCTAAAATACCTAGACCCAACATCCCTCTTCCTCTAATCTTTACAGTGAACTTGTTACTTTAATTCTTTTTTTCTTCCGATGTCGATCTCTGTTTTTGACCGAATGAAGTTTTTATAATTGAAATTTTTTTTTTCCTTTTGGAAATGAATTCAAAAATAAGGATTTTTTTTAAGAAAAACGAATTTCTAGAGGATACTCTATTTTTGATATTTTATCGCCATTAATAATTTAAAGTTTATAGTAATGAAAAAATGTGAGCTCATAGGAACTATGAAATTTCAAATGCTGAAAATAAATTTTCAGAAATGCAAACAAATTTTGAGCAGAACACCCCCATAGAAAAAGCATCCTCTTAAAGAGGATTTGTTGGGTTGCACGATTAAATTTCTATAAATACAATGAATAATGTAGAAAATTAATCACACAATCCAACAAACTCTTTGATTGAAACTTCAACAATTTAACCCTATTATCTGAAAATCAATCCCCAAGACTACCACATTTGAATTTAAAGTAGTTTTTTTTCCCCTGTAAACTAACTAAATTTCACCAACCTCAAAAACCCTATTGCTGATATCTGTAGCCTGGGCATTTATCAAATTTCTTATCAGAGTGGTCATCGTATATTGGATAAACAAAACGAACCCTTAAAGAACATGGAAGATTTGTGTATTATTATTAAAGATCTCCATACATAGTTGGAATTGTAATCATAAGTTAGTTTCCTTATGCCAAAATTATTCAACACTGTTCATCATCTACCGAGCTTGATTTTGGGGAATCATTCCATGTTTTGAAAAATTCTAATTAATTTAGTTAATGATCTTTCGAGTATCCCACCCTTTCCCAGCGTTTGAAAATCTATTCTAATTTAATCTTTTGCAAAGTAATGTCCTTTTTTGTGCTTTATTCACGCTGTTTTCACTTTTTAGTTAGATAAGTATACCTTTTGGATTTTCTAATGTATTTTAGGCATCTAATAAGGAGAATTTCCAGCTTAACTATAATGGACATTTAACACTAATTTACTTAAAAGAATTGGCTTAGTATCAATAAATTAAATTAGGTGTTAAAGTAAATAATGCCACCTTTCTGCATTATGTCATGATAATAAAGTTAAAGGTGAGGGGGAAAAAACATTGTTTAACTTGCATCTTAGTGTGTTTGCAGTAACATTAAGACACACGCAAAGAGAACTAAATCATTAGAAACTAAGATTAATTATAATTTTAAAAAAATACTAAACTAATAAAAAATTTAAATCGTTTATTCTCTGTCAAAACATTACAACCACATAAATAAAAATTTGTAGAGTCAGAGATACATAAAAAGACAAAAACATGAACATTTAATTTAATCTTTTATAATGAAATGGACCCGTTTTAGATCAATATAAGCTCTAAGTATTGCTTCGGAATTAAGTATATTACCATATGTAAGTCTGTATAGTATGGGCTCTGATCTTCACATTTAGATAGCCCTTTGAATTATCCTCTAATGCAAACTTCAAAGTTTCGTTTTGTCTAAAAGAGAAAGAAATTATATTAAAAACAACATTCAAAGATTGGGTTGCAAGAAAGTAATTTCGGTTTTTAGAGTGAAAAAAAATTAATTTAAAATATCTTCCATTCTCTCTGTGGCAGAATTGCAGCAACATTGGCGCAGAATGTTAGAGTTTTTGCAGAAAGATGTTTCATTTGGGAAAGGAAAAATTTGGGTTTTTCCTTTCTGCATAATTTTTCGAAAAATATTTATATTTTACTATGGAATTTTTTTTTGAAAGATGTCTTTCTTTTGCATCAGAGAGGAAAGAAATAATTATGAATTTCCTATTCTCATTTGAGATTTGAAAAAAAAATGTAATGACTGGCTTTTGATAGAATAAAAAATTCAGAAATCGCGAAAGTTTAAAAAATATACTTCGGTCTAGAAATTATGTTGTTCAGTCTATCATTTTTTTTCCTCTAAAGAACACCATATTTTACATACACTTATTTGAGTATCTCTTCTTTAAACAGTCCTATTCGCGTGATTTCGTCGTCGATCTTTATTTTGGGAGTTACTGAATAGATTTTACGATTTTTAATTTAATATCATTTAATTTATTTACGAATTTGAATTTGTGTAATGATTTACAAAATTCGAAAAAGGAAATGATTAGTGCATTTTTCACTTACAAAATGTGAGAATATAGTCTATAATATTGGTATTTAAAAAATATAACTTTTACAATTAAAATTTTTTTTATGACACTTTCTTCTGTAAACACAACGTTAAATTAGTAATTGTTATAATTAAAAGCATCCTAAAGCAAAATAATAGTGCTAGGGAAGTTCGTCGCAGAAAGCTCGAAAGCCACAGGGTCCATTCTTTTCTATGATCTTTCTGAAATCTTGATGACCCCTAGCTCATAGAATCCTCATCAACAAAAAATGCAATGAAGTGTGATTTGAGGCCCTCGTTATAACGGAAATTTTCACCATAGACCAAAATAGACCAAAGTGCACACCATTAAAAAAAAATTTTGGATTTAGTATCTTTTACAATATTTACTTTTTACAGAGTTGCCACAGAAAAAAATTAACAAAATAGTTGCTTTTAGTAGTCTAAAGCATGAAAATAGTTGCCGAAAACTATGAAATTAGTCACCTAAATAACAAAAATATGACTAAAATATTATTAAATTGTCATATGTTGTGATCCATTTAGTCAAGTTGGTGGAAAATATGATAATTTTATTTATAAATGTTAATGTTCCTAGCACTATATTTTTGTATCAAAAAAATTAGTACAGTGCAGAACCTCTCATCCGGAAATCAGAAAACCGGAAAACCATATAACCGGAATGAAATTCGGAACTGGAAATTAATTTTCTTCCATTAAAAAAAAAATTTTTTCCTGCAAGATTTTGAGCCCATTTTGTTATTTAGAGCGTACAGCGTATCGAGTTGACGAAAGAACTGATTTAGAGGACGGATCAAAAGCCGTTTGTAGACGAATCTCACATAAGCACAAATAGCTTACATATGTTACTAATGTTAATAATAACATTAATAACTATGTTACTAATGTTAATAATAACATTAATAACATATATAAGCCTATATATAATTTTTAATTCATAATTTCTTTCCTTATTTAAACTTAAGTGTATTATTATTTATCATTTTTTATTATTTCTAAAACTGTTTCAAAAAAATTTTTTAGTTTCGTTTTATAAACATTAAAAAAACGGCATTTTGTAGCGATTCAGAAAACCGGAAAAATCAGTTATCCGGAATCGCGATAGTCCCGATCGTTCCGGATAATCAGTTCTCTACTGTATATTTGCAGAAAGTTAAATACTTCTAATAATTAAAATTCATTCAAAAAAATATTTTTTCATAAACAAAACACTTTTTGTAAAAAAATTTCTCTTTAACATTAGATTTAGGCATTAATTAAGAAACATATATATTGTGAAAATGATTACTTAAATTCGAAATTCACACATTGTAATATCATATTAAAAATAAAAAATGGATTTTCTAAAATTGTACAGAATTTTATAACAATAACCGTTGAAAAGGTGATAGAGAAACAAAATAGACTTACAATAGAATCTGTGCAAACTGAGCGAATTAAAGAGAGATGACTCAAATTTGCAAATCAAAATTTTCACCATTTCCTATTTTTTAAGAAAAAAAAAGATTCCTTATGTTCAGTAGCTCCCGTGGGCTGCAGGTTTTCAACCCAATTTGTGCTTTTAAAAAAACATAGCTAGGAGTACAGAAAATTCTCCAAATATTCTCCTTTTCCCGAAAGTCGTTGCTTTTTTAGCATTTTCAGGTAAAAAAAGTTGCCATAGTCGCCTCATGCCAAAAATAGTTGCAAATAGTCGCCTGTGGCAACCCTGTTTTGGGAATAAATAAGCCTTTAGGAAAAAAAATTAATGCAGAAATTTTTTTTCTTTTAATGCAAAACAATCTCGTAAAAGATGTCCCTATTTAACATCGTTTTTCTCCCACAGACCATTTCTTTAGCAAAATTAACAAATCAACTTACCTATTCACTGCAATGACAACTGTCTTATCCTCAGGAGTCCTGAATGCTGCGATTTCAAGATTTTCAACTGGCTTTGACACATCTAAGGCGATTCTATATGATCCCCTTGGCAAACTTTTGCTGAGTGAAATGATACAATATAAAATTAAAAACTAGAAAATAAATATCATTTTAAACATAAAATGTCCTATGGTGCATACAATTTAAAAGGTAAAGGACAGAAGCATTGCTTCAAAGGCAAGTTGGTAACTGCAAATACACTACACTACAAATATATAATTCTATCAAATCTACCACTACAAATTTATAATTCCAATTTACTGGTATATAAGACATGTTAACTCAATTCTTTGTTGAGGTAGCTTTTCATAGATGTTGACATTGCCTATAACTTCTCTCTCTACATTGGTGACCCGGACGTGATGTGAACATGCCTACTTCGATGGATGGTTCCCAATTGAACAGTAGACTTGCTACTTGTGACATTATCTACCTTCTGTCCTTTATGGCTGTACTACCTAAAGTACAGTCATAAAGGACAGTAGCATTGCTTCAAAGACAAACTGGTAACAGTACTGAATCTACCACTACAAATATACAATTCCAATTCACTAGTTTATAAGACATGTTAACTTGATTCTTTGTTAGGGTACCTTTTCATAGATGAAGGTTGACATTGTCTATGACTTCTCTCCCCACATTGGTGACTTAGGCGTGATGTGAGCACGCCTGCCTTGACAGAAACACCCACTTCGATGGATGGTTCCCAATTGAACAGTTGACTTGCTATTTGTCACATTATCCACCTCCTCGCGCCGTTGCTACTCAGTCTCGATCATGCACAACCTATTCACTCTTCTGCTTAAGGCAACACAAGAGCGACCACAACCGTGAACAGCTCTAACGTTCAGCATTTAAAAAGTAAAGTGATCTTAATACAGCTCTCCCGGCTTCTCACAAAACAGTGCCTCAACTAAGTTTGCCACAACTAATCAAATTATGTAACAATTAAGCATTTTTTTTAAAAGTATTTTTACGAACACTAATTTTTAGGATTATTGGTATACTACAGGTGCTCAGCACAGACTATACTTTGTGACATCCCAGCATTTAAAACACACATTTAATTTCCTATTTGGAAACGGTGAAACCAGAAACAAAAAATGACTGATGAATAAAAAAAAAATCATGTGTGAATTGGGGTTCAAAAATTATACTGCCAGACGTTTTTAGGCATATTGAAAATTTCTAATGGGCATGTAAATATTTAATCAAAATATCCTAAAATACCAATTATGTGCTCTCTCAAATATTAATGGCAGTGTGGGGGGGATTTATTTTTTGTATTTAAAGTTTCACATAATACCAGTTTCTACATAATATTCATAATTCCTTTTACTATTTTGTTCTTCTAAAGAGGATTATGTACAATATTTGTTAAATGAATAGTTTTTTCCTTTACATACCTGTTTTCATTAATGTATATTTGGAATAGGATTAATTTGGGCTTGTATTTTTTAAAATGATATGCCTGGTAGTGCATGTAAAAATTTTGAGATTTTTCGAGCCCTAGTATTCATGTATTTACAACTAGTTAATAATGCAATTCATTTGCCAAAATTTTTATTGCTTAATAAATCGATGTTGCAGACCTCATCACATTCATCCCTTAATAAAATACCCTTATACATGTTCAATAAATAATTTAGTTCCTGTCGTGTAGAACTAAATAAACGCATATTCTTGATTTCAATATTCTTATAACATAGATTAACGTTAATTAAAATAACGTTAATAAAATCAACTGGAATATATTAACTTCCTTTATTTTTCTGTAAGCTTAAAACATTTATTTTGAAAGAATGAAATAAAAGTTATGCTGGGATAACAATTTCTTTCAAAAGGCTACTACTATGCTGAAGACAATTCCCTGAATTAAATTCAAGGTAGAATAAATAAAAAAATAAAAAATAATAATAACTTAAGCTTACCTACATTTTTAAAATTTAAAGCTATTTATAAAAAATTGATTCAACTTTTTTTCACTTAAGATGAAAATAAATCTTTGAAATGAATTTGAAATATACTTTAAAAGTAAGATTAACTTTAAAAAAAAAACATTAATAACATTAAACAATAAGGTGATCATAAAAAGCGATAATTTTGACACACAAATGAATAGATAGATTCCAGACTGAGTGATTTTGATAAAAATTAGTGATTTATAACATTTACCGCAATAACTATAAGTGAAGACTACTGAACTTGATTAACTTTAAATATGAATTAAAAGCAAAAATTTTATCTTAAACAAACAATGAAAAAAAAGGTTAATGTTTTACCTGAAGTGACCCAATATATAATACATGGGCTGCTTGTAGAATTCTTTGGATTTAGAATTCACAATGATTGCTGCATCAACAAAATTCTTCACCCAGTTTGGACCACCCTCCATGTCCAACGCTAAATTCCAATCAATCCAACCGATAGACCAATTCAGCAAATCCTAGAAGGAATTTTCTTAAATAACGTACTAGGACACAATGGTTTGAAACATGTAAAATTAAGAAATAATGATGGCAAAACACACAGATAAATTTGCCACATGATTTTTTAGAGTTTTCGCAGTGTGATGGCAAACTTCTGATAAATTAAACTTCTTTTTTTTTTAAATTGCAAAAAAAAAAAAAGTATTTCCCTTTTCCTTTATTCAAAATTATGTTCAGTACTTATTATTTAAATGAAACAATTATTTTTATGAAAATGTTTTGTTTGCTGCTTTAAATTATTTCCAGAAATATGATTAAGGAAAAAATTTTCCTTGTTGTTTGTTGCATTAAAAAGTACTGTATTTTCTTAAGCATATAAAAATTATTTGTTCTAAAAAAAAATAATAATAATAATAATAAAATGAAATAATCTTGCATGTTTTGTTTCATGATGGGTATAAAATGAAATATCCTACTTGTATAATGTCATGAGCATATTGTTCTGCTCTCTCCCAATTTCCCAGATCAACCTTCGGAAAAACCCATGGCTCATAAGCTGTACACGCCTCAGTCGCAAGGAAGAAAAGAGAGGGATGTTTGCCGTGAGTGATGTCCAGAATCCTGTGAGGCATCAGATCTTCATAATACCAGTGGAAGGCAACACCTGATACAAATTGGGCTGCCTCCTTGTCTTTCATTATCTGATAACAAAGAGGGAAAAAAAAGAGAATTTAATTTACAGAATTGACTGTTATTTTGAGATGAAATCACGACTACGAGGTATTTTTCAAACTTTACTGTCAAGGAGGGGAAATGTCATATTATGCTTTATTTGATTTTCACACATAAATTGATAATCTGACCTATTTTCTCCACATTACACTTTCACAATAGACAAAGCTCCAACTGAATTTATTATGATGGCAGATATTCAGTGCTTCGTAACATCCTATTATTATCGTGCAGGTACTATTTTTTAACAAAAACAAAATTTTACTACAGACAAATCTTCGACTGAATTTATTATGACAACAGATATTCAGTGCTTCGTAACATCTGAGCTAAAACCGTTTTAAACAGAAGCACACTTTCACTATAGACACGTTGAAACATTTCTTTCGAAAAACTCAAAAGGTAAAGAGCTTAATGATCAGAAATTTCAGATCTACTGCCAGAAGAATGGGGTTAAGCATGAACTTACAGATGTATGTTCACCTAAAATAAGCATCGTTGCAGAAAAATTGCTTATGGTAACACTCTTTACAACTTTACACCATCCTCAATTCAACCGTGTTAAAGGCCAGAGGCTACCTGCTCTTGAAACTGAGTATGTAAAAAACGAGAGACTTTCAACAGGGGTAACTAACTCTCTCACCACCATTTTTACAAAATTCTTTTGAAAATTACTGATTTTTTTTAAGAATGTTTCATTTTTATAGAACTCTACATTGATTCATACTACACGATGAGTTCAGTAAAAAAACAAGCTGAAAATTGAAATCCAAAAATGCTATGTACAAATAACACTTTTTAAATAAATAGAAAAAAATAGACCTGAAATTTAAGCAAGAACAAAGTGTATGCATAAAAAAAAAATCCACAGAATGTTTAATATTGATAAAAATATTGATGAAAGATTTCATTTATTTATTTAATTTATGCGAACATGAACTTCAATGTATGATTTTTAAATCACATGGATAGGAGTATCAACAATCAATTTTAAAATGTGAATATGAATCTTAATGTTTGATTTTAAAATTGCATGAATCCGAATATCGATGTTAAATTTTAAAATCGCGTGAATGAGAATTTCGATGTTCCATTTTAATATAAATATAAATTTCAAAGTATAATTTTTTATTCACTTCAACACAAATCATAAAATAGCTTTTAAATCATGTGAATAAGAAACACGACATTCGACATAAAACTGTGGAAATATGAAACACGATGCACGATCTGAAATCACGCAAATAAGAATCGTGAAGCGTTATTTTAAAAGACAGGTATGTAGTTCTAAATTCCATTTACATTGATAGGAAAAAGCATAAAAACAAATCCTTTTTTTAAAGGTAATTCGAAAAAGACAAAAAATTTCCTTGAAGAGGCAGATCTCTTTTTCCTTTTTAATAATAGTAAAAAAAAATTTAGATGAAAGGAATCTCTCTGATTTGATCTGATGAAGAATAAATGCGCATCTTTTTATAATTCTTAAGAAACAAATTTCGTATCTCTTATTGGCTTCGGTTTTACCATCAAATACATCTTTCTAATTAACTTTTTTACCTCTGTAAAGACTAAAGTTAAAATTTATAAATTAAAAATTAAACTTTTTGTCACATCGGCATTTCCTAGAAAGGAAGCGCTTTAGGCAGTCTTCCCCTATGGAAAAGAAGGGACTGCATTAACATGTGAACAAATAAACCATTTTTACATTACTGAAAAGGAATAGCTATAAAATCGACAGCGTCTTTTATTAGTCAGAAAAAAATTGGGAAAAGAATATTTTTCCCCATTGCAAAACAAAAATATCATTCATAATAAATGTTAAATTTTTTTAAAAAAAACAGAAGTTTATTGTTTTTGAAAATATCACACTAGTGCGGAGAAGATAACATTATTCAATATGCAAATTCACCAGGATCATAAAATATTATTGCAGTAGAGGTAATTATTGTTGCATCGGATATTGTTACAGAGAGAGTTCACTGCATTAGAAGAAATATTCCGAATTTTGATACTACAGAAAATATTAAATGTTAGTTCTAATTCACTTACAATATCGGCCCATCTTGGCAAGAGCCCCCTGGCATCGTCCATTATCATGAGTTTCAAGTTATTGGGGCCGAATCCTGCCTTCTGCAAGGTAGGCCCTAAATTGAGTTTCAGGAAGTCTCTCTGCTTATCGGGAGGGAAGCACATAGACTGAAAAGCAAAATCTGTAAGACATCCGTCCGTTGGTTCATTTTGCAATGTCAGACCCCAAAAGGTAACGTTATTTTCCTCATATGCCTTCAAGAATCTGAAATAAACAGATTGTTCGAATAAGTAACAAAATTGAAGTACAGTATGTGACGACCCTTGTGCTTCGGGCAAAAACGAATGTTTTAACATGAGGTCATTATATCGTGAGAGCACAAAACTATATTAACTCAGAACTAAAAAGAAAATAAGTACTTAAACTAATAAGTACTCTTAAAGTAATACATTATAGGTGAAAGTGCATTAAAATTAATATGCTTCGATTCACATTATATAATGTACATTAAGATAAGGGTGTGTAAATATATCACACAAGGGGTGACTTTTAAACAAGGAAAGTATGGATTGATGAATCTTTTAAAAAGAAAGTTAGACAAATTAGACTATGATGGAATCATCAAAAGTGGTTCTCAAATGCGCAATTTTAATTTTGTATATTGCATTAAAAATATTGGTATATTAGTAGAATTTTAAGAATATACAGCTATTTATAAAAAAAAATTTGGTTTTTTATTTCTTTTGTAAATGTAAAACAAACAAAAGGTAATTTGCAACTAAACCGAACATGCACTTTAAATTTAAAAATCGGAAATACAGCTGGGTCAGTTGAATTTTATATTTTAAATACTGATTTACCTTATGCCATATTGGGTTTAAAAGCTTGTGTAGGATATTAATTAGTAAACAGGTTATAGTGCAAAATCAGAGAAAATTGATAACTTTTTTCTGATTATAAAAGCAACTTTCCCTTACACATTTCTCCTGAAAACCAGGTCAAGTTTAGCAATACTAGTAATGATAAAAAAAAATAAAGTTATAAATAAAAATAAGGCAAGTAAAAGAAAGAATGTTAAATCAAATAAAAAATAATGAAAATATTTGTGACAATATTGTAGAAAATAAAATTTTGGTCATAAAAATAAATAATAAAAAAATGTCAAAAATATAAACAGAGTAAATTAAAAGAAAAATGAAGCAAAAAATTGCCATCACCAGTTTGATGGAATATCAACAATTCAAGAAAGTGAAGGGAAAAAAATGTTTCCACTTCACAAAATGTTTCAAATATTTTGCTATTAACATGACAAATATGAAAGGTTGAATCACCAAATGTAATAAGATAGTTCTGGATAAAAACAAAGAACATACATAATTCTTGAAAAAGTCTCTGATCTGATGTAAATTACGATTAATTATTAATAATATATTAATAATATATAATTAATATATTGATGTAATGTATATAGAATTTTAAAAAAAATTAAAGACATTAAATTTCGTAATAAAATATAACAAAATTTTGATATAATTCTATTGGAATAACATTGTGCCTATGGAATAGCAAACATGACTATGCATCAGTCATGATAATAGAAGAATCACTGCAATAGGAATCATACTAAAAGCATTCATTTTTGCAACAATTAAAAACAAAAACAAAAATAAACAGTAAAAGTTGAGTATAAAATAACAAAATTAAAGACATTAAATTTCTTACAAAATATAACACAATTCAGACATAATTTTATATTCCAAAAACCTTAGTATATGCTTAAAGTCAGTTTTAAAAAAATAGAATTACCGCACAAAATAATCTGCCCATGTTTGATAATATTGCCCTCCAGGTTCACCAATGAGTTCTCCTTTACCATTCATGGCTCCATTGGTTTTCATCCATGCGGGAGCACTCCAGGGGCTCCCAAAAAGAAGCAACTGGTTTTTGCTCAAAGCATTGGCTGACTGAATGTACGGAATCTATAAATATATGTGAATCATAACTACATATAGTGAAAGATTACCATACATGCATATATAGTACAAATAAATGTCTATAAAACAATAGTCAGAGCAATTTTATAATTGCTTGTTGCACACAAGGTTTCACAGTATAATACGGCCCTAGATTATCAGACATCCAAAAATGTGAGATTTTTCAAAAGAACTGTTTTAGAAAAGTTTAAAAATCTTTTGGCCAGTTAATATTAGAGACGGAACAATATTAGAAAAAGCAAATAAAGAAGTGTAATGGAAAATGGAATCATTAAGAGAAGGATGGGACATGTACTAAAAATGCAAAGAGATAAATTCACACATGTTTCTCTTTCTAATTTCTTGGGCCCCTACTGGCAGGAGAAAAGGGGGAAGACAAAGATTGACTAGGCCAAAACAAATGAAGGTGAATTTTAGTGCAAAGTCAGACTTCGAGTAAAAATACCCGGAGGACATGGATAAGTGAGCTGGATGTGGCAAACGACCTGAAGAGCCTAAGTAAGGTATAAGTATATTTTAAAAAATTTTGCAAAATGAGTGACACATTTAATTTTCTTTTTTTATTATTTATGATTACGATCACTGCTCTAGGGGTTACTGTATTGGACTACAGGTCCAAAGGTTGTGGGTTTGAATCCCATAGTAGGCATGTATGTAACTTTCTCCGTGTGTGTGTGTTCTATGAACACAGTTACTGTGCGCCACTATAAAAATATAATTCCTATTCCCTAGAATGACTACTATCTCCACATAATATATTTATATAACATAATACAGTACGACCTCGAAAATCCGGACTTCTGAAATCCGGAAATCTCTAAAATCGGGACGTCCAGTTCCTCAGAAAAAAATTTCAAAAGAAAAAATTTTAAAAAAATTGCTTAAAATAGAAATTTTAATGCAAAACCACAACTCTTCTCCAACAATGAAGCAGTAGATGAAGAGGTAGAGGTGGGATGTGAATGAAAGCTCATAGCTGATAAGGAAATTCCAGTCATTCTTATCAGTTCTGTATAGATAACAAAGAATATAAAACAGAATCCCTCTCCTCCTGAAGGGGAATCCCCTCAGAAGGAGGAATTCTTCCATCTCCTTGATTTCCCCCCTTGTGATGAAAGAAAACTGGTTCTTTCTTAACCTTGAAGCTTAGGAGGCGGGGACAAGTTCTTTCATACCCCAACAAAAAAAAAGGATTAGTATCAGCTGGTACAGTCTAGTCTAGAAGCATCTGTTTCGGTTATAAGTTGAAATTCAGCTCGCGTTTTAAGCCTATATTTTTAGTTTTAATTGCTAATATTATGTTATCTAAACGATCGATTGCGGGGGAAAATGACGAAAGTTTGATTTTTAATGTCTTTTATTTATTATTTAAAGAGTATATTTATGTTAAAATTGACGTCGGAGGTCTACACACGCGTGATTAATCGCGAAATCGGCCTGGCGAATTCGAAACTTCGATAATTCTATCAATTCAAGTAAGGTATCTAAAATCCGGAAATTTCAGAAACCCGGACCTTCCAAACCCCCCAGCAGTCCGGATTTTCGAGGTTGCACTGTATTAAAAATAATTATATTTCTGTAATAAATATTACTTTTCTTTTCAAATGTGATTCATTAAATTTCTCTTAAAAAGTATCTGAAAAAATGCTACAATTAATCATTATTTACTTTCTGCATTTGAATCTATTTCTCCTAACCGTGAGCTACATACTAAAATCAGTTGATGATTGGTTAAATCTGAACTCAACCCACTTTTAAATGTCATATCTTTCGTCATTGCGGGAATGTCTTTCATCTTCGGAAACTGGTTTCCTTGGACTGACACTGTTTTGGGAAAGCAATCAAAACTGATTCCAGTTTTGGGTTTCCTTGACGAAAGTCAATTCCGATTCCTCGGAGTTCGTGGTAGGACCCCTGGAGTAGAATTTAGAAAGTAATTCTGCATCATAAATACAAATTCGTCTGTGACCTCAGGGAGATTATAATTTATAATTGTACAGAATTCAGTTTAATCTAACACGTATGTAGCAAAATTTGCAAAGGTAAAGTACATGTACGGTGCAAAACAAAAGAAAAGAAAAAAAAGGAACCACTCTGAATAACTTTTGATCTGACGATCGGATCTTTACATTCTAGGACTCAATCTTAATGACTTGAGAAGGTGACCTCTAATATGCTAATTAATAAGAGCAGAAGATATTTTAAGTTACAAAATCAGACACAAAAATGTATTTTCTCTGAATAAACATACCTCTTTTATGACAGATTTGGATTTCTGACCCCCAAAATATAGGGGGTAGCTGCAATCTAGGAAATATGGTCCCAATAGTTTAGTCAGGAGAGTGCTCCTAAGTTTGGACCACTTAATGTTAATTTTACTTTTTGCAAATTGGCGTGGATCACGTCATCCCTTATCAAACAAGAGTATTTAAGCTTCTGTTGAAGCAGATTATTTTCTTTCTTTTTGTTACTCATTTTTCACTCTGTTTGTGAGAGTATGTTATATTTGTCTATCACTTTAATATGCTTTTAAAATAAATTGTTGACTTCGTATTTTATTTGTCTTGTTGACATACAGATACAATGATATTCTTGCTACAATCTCCGCTGACAATTATTTATTTATTTTAAAGACTGGTAAAAGTAAAGTTTTACTTTATAAAGTAGATCTTCTTTAGCCAGCTGAAAGTGTTCTAATTTAAAATCATCCTTGACATCAGCATATGAATAGGGATGTGTAGAAAAATCACAGCTGGCAATTGGAATTCTTCCCATATTATACTGAAGCCCTATTAAAAAAATATATATTTAAAAAAAAACTATAATAAAAATAAATGAGCTTAATCTAAGGCTAATTCATTAAGTTCTAGTTTCTATTTAGTGATAACTTCTTTAGTCTTTTGTTTCCTCCCGCTTATCAATTTTTTAAGCAGTGATTTCGATAAACTTCTTGTCCTTTTTTTTTACAACGCACACACACTAGTAAGTACAGATTAGAAAATTAAGATTATTAGTGTTAGGGGTTCAAAACAGGGGATAATTAATCTATAATAAGTTACAGGTGATAACTAAGACCAAAGAATTATATATGTTTTTTTTCCATATATATATCCATACCTGCCAACTTTTAATCCTTTTGAGAATAATTTTCCCCAGTGGCAGTAAAATGGAATTTAAATTACAATTTTAAGGAAGAAACAAACGCTGTAAAATGAAAAAGCTTATGGGGACTACCACGACAGTATTACATATTAATATAGATGCTTAATTTTTTTAAAAATAGCGGTGGTCAAAAAGATTATAAATTAAGTTTATAAATGCAAAGAATATATAAAAATCATACATTTTACTACCACTTTAAATATAGAAATAAAATTTGACGCTAAATGCATAAAAGTTGGCAGATATGTTTATCCTTCTAGTTTTTAATTTTTTTTAAATTTTCTTTTTGTGATTATTATTTATCTTTTATTTTTAAATAAATTTCATACCTGCCAACATTGGAGAAATAAAATAACAGAGATTTTACTAGCAACATATTTTTGGGCTACATGTACACCATGCATTATCATGTAAGTCAAAATTGGAAATAATATAAGCACTTACATTTAGTGAAGTATATATAAATCTTAAACTAAAGAAGATTTTTTTAAAAATTATTACTTATAATTACTCAAATTATAAACACTCAACATACTGCGGTACTGGCAAAAGAACCATCTATTCAGGAATAAGAGGAAGTATTTTTTACCACCAGCAGATAGATTATCAATAAAAAAAAAATTTTAAATTTCTTCAACAAATACAGAGACATTTGAGAATATACAAGTAAACAGGAGATACTTGTAAGAAACAGGAGTCTTTGTTAAAAAATAAGAGGAGACTTGGGGAAAATATAGATCAGAACACAGAAAAATTATGCCTCACATGTGCAAGTGTTAGACAAAATTTAAAAATTTGTTAATAACTTTAATGCGTTTACTCTGCTTTTAATAGACTTTGCTTTAAAAAGGTAGGTAGGTACTTTAATTACATTGCACTAGAGCTGCACAATGGGCTATCAGCGATGGTCCGGGAAACATCATTAATGATGATCCAAAGACACACATCATAATTTTGATCCCCTGCAGAGGGGATGGATCCTCCTCTTTGGTAGCCCCAAAGCCAGTAACACTTTACAGTTGAACGAGAAATGCAGGGTATCTGCTACATTTTAGATTTTAAAATTCATGACTTTCCATGACTAATTCCAAGAATTTTTAATGACTTAACGAAGTTACTACTTTCTACGACAAAAACACAACAATAAATTTAAAAAAGCATTATAATAACATTAATTGAAATTATAGGTATAACCAATACTGTTACAATCTACATCCTCATATTTATAGATTTTAAATTTAAAAAAAAACAGAATAAAAGAAAGAGTTGAACCAATAAGATAGCTGAAATCTGTTTCTAAATCCTTAACAAGTTGATCAAAAAGAAAAATTATTAAAAAATATTCTAAACTATTATTTTATGTGCTAAATTAGTGGAAAAGAATTAAAAGTTAACATAAACAGTTTTTAGGGCTTTTGTAATGAATAGGTTCGTGAATATTCCTAACAAAATGAAATTTATAGTGTTGGAATCAACATAATGTCATTGTAAAGTTTAATAATTGCATATTGATATTTTAAGAAATTATTTATGATAAATTACTAGCAAGCATACCTAACAAAATATACATATGTTTTTATCTTAAACTAATAAGTTAAATATGAATTTTATGCAAGAAATTATAATTCCTTCAGTAATTAATTTCATTTCTTAAGGTATATGGGGTAGTTTCTAAAAAACATGAGACTTGCCAGGTATGAAATTTTAGAATTGCTTACATGTTTTCATCTCTTATTTTTATTATTATTTATTGTAATTACTTAATCATGGTCATTTACCAAAATAATTTTGATTAACTTTTGTAAATGACCATCTTCTTTCTCAAGAAATGTGGTTATAGGGAAAATGAAAATCTTTGGCATTTAGAATTTGGAATTTTGCATATTCAGATCTTGTAAATTCCTCTGCATATTTAAATCTTTTATTGTTTTTTGACACAGATGGAATACAAAAGGAATGGCAGAATTATCATTAAATGCTATTATATTTTAAAAAGTATCTTTCAAAATTAAAGAATTAACTATGCATGAAAAACAAAATTATAAATCCAAATATAACTGATACCATTTTTAGAAAAATAGCTTGAGAGAAGCGATTTCTGTAATTTTGGAGACAGAGAAGCAATGTTGATACCAGCTGCATCAGTAAAAGCTCCTCCAAAACCCAAAATGAACTGATACATTACTGAACTGTTAACAGTATACAAACTGACTCCTGAAAAGAAATGTATAAATCAAAGGTACACCAACACATTTACACATACACATTACAGTGACCACACAAGTATCACAAGAGTGGGGGGGCAAATAACTATTTCTTCATGACAAAAGCATTAATAAACTATAATAAATTCACATCATTTTTGAACAAAAAATGAAAAGTACTTTCATGAACTTTACAAAAATACTTATAAGTCAATTTTTAAAAAAAAAAAATCACTCTAATATAATAAAAATAATATGGAGAGAAATAAAACTTTTATAAAAAGAAGAGTTACAAAAAGCACTACTCTTTTTATCTTGTAAACAAAGAATCTAATACTTAAAAAGCCCCCTGACTATTTAATAGTCTAATATGACTATTAATAGTCCAGTCCTACTAGTTAATAATCCTGGGCTAATAAAGCCATAGCTAATAGTATTAGCCATGGCTTTTTCCATAAATTAAGATAAAGAGTATGTATGAAATGTACATTAAAAATATTAAAATGTAGTAAAGAGTAATGTACAAAAAAGTACATTAAAAAAAAGTTACTGCTTTTGTTGTTATTGTTTCACAAAAATTTTGCCACACATTCCTATTACTTTCATAATAATAATAAAAAAATTGAACGAAAAAATGTGAATTTTTATACATTTTACATTTTGATACATAGTTACAGGTACATAATGACATAAAAACGTTATTAACACAGTAGATAATGTATCACATCATTTTACAAAAAAAAAAGTTGCTTTTTAAACCAAAATTGAATTTAGTTAAAGCATTTGGCAGGAGAATCAGGATTTTTTGTATTCACATACTCTTTATGTCTGAAAATAAGCAAAACAGGTCAATTTTTTAAAATTTTGAACTAATTTTGAGGTTATGAAATTTTAAAGTTTTGTTTTTTGGCTTTGAATAATGAAATTTATTTACTTAATGCTCAGAAGTTGATAAAAAAATTCTTATTATTTTTTAGGATAACACGACCATACAATTCCCTTATAATTAAAAAAACAATTAAAATCTTTTAATTAAAAAAATTGGTATAAATATTTTCCAAATAATATAGATTTTTAATACCTTTTCAAACTGTTGAAAGACAGTTATTTGTTTTTAGAGAGAAAAGTAAATTTTATTAGGCAATTCTTTTTCTTCCTTCTTTGCTGTTTGTTTCCTAACAAGAATCTTTTGCAAATGGACACATGAGTTTAATTTGTGCAATAAAAAAGTTTGAACAGGTAAAGATGATACAGAGAACGCTTGCATTTACACTTCAACATTATTTTCAATTTCAATCCAGAAATATTCATCTTAGTAAATTTATTTTTTTTTAAAAAAAAAGGGTATCACCATATTCAAGTGCGCCGGCCAGGTGGCCAAGTGGTTAGCGGGCCTGACTGCGAAGCCAATGGCTGAGGGCTAGAATCCCGCTCTGGGCATCGTTGTTTCTCTCTCTCTGTGTTGTCTTATGATGTGTGAATGTATGACTGTGGCCCACCCTATGAACGGGTATTTGTGGCAGTGTAGCGTGGGTAATGCTGCTCACCTCCGTGACTTTAGTTCACGGGTGCCCACTGGGTAACGATAAATCAGCAACACTTCTGGCATCTTCTAAGGCGAAGAACGAAAAGTTCAGTGTCTGCCGCTATTAAAAAAAATATTCAAGTGCAATGATCAAGTTCATTTTGCAGAGAAATTTGAAGAGCTGCATAAGCAGTTCAAACTTGGTAAGCGAGAACAATGCGGGCAAGATCAGAAAAAAAGATTTTAAGGTTTTTATTTTCTTACCAAACATTCAATGAGAAAATAGTGCATAGTAATGAAGATTTTGCATAGATTTTTAACGTTTAGTGAATTATAATTAAAAAATGTCTGAAATTAAAACACTTTATACTTTTGTTAAAATATTTATGTTCTAATAGCACTGTAACACATTATAAAAGTAATAAATAGTCACTGTAATTACCAGATGGCTTAGTAGAACTAAAATTTAAAATTGAAGATTCAAATCTGGCACCATTCTTGTTTGATTCATAGAGGGCTGCTCCTGAATAATTTGATAAAAGGACTAAATCATCACAATAACTCTCATCACAGACGCAAACAATCTTTTCTGACCCAAAGGAATGCGGTTTACAAGGATTGCCGAATCCTAAAAAAACATACATTTAATCAATTAATAAAAAACTGATGAATTAATGTATCATTTTTTTAAAGAGAAATCTCAGCATTAAATAGAGAGGTAGACTTTCATAGATACCTGCAATAAAATATTCACCAATCTTGGCCAAAACTGAGCAACAGCAAGCAAAAAACGATATAAAAAAAACAAACATTAAAGAAGCCTCTATAAGCCAAACAATATAGGGAAAACTAATGGTCGCCCTGGTGACTAAATATAACAGATATCAGGGGGAAATCAAACACATCAGATAGCACAGATTGTCACAGTGACATCAGATTAAAGCCAAAAATGCTCACAGTCACAGGTGGGGACTGTTTTTAAATGTCCCAAAAAAGATATAATTTTACTTTGTCGTTATTACACAATAAACTCTTTAAGTATTTATTATGATATATACTACTTGGAAGTCACAACTATACTTTACTGGTACTGAAGTCACTGAGAAACTTTGCTGCAACTTTGATCCATTGAAAGTCACAAGGAAACTGTTTTATGACTAACTAAAGTCTCAAGAGCATGTAAATTACAACAGAGCTGCAAATAGTCACAACAATTGCATCTACAGGTATGGCTGGTTTAAATAGTTCCGAAGGCTGCTTAACATGAATTTGTAAAGAATTTATGTCTATAAGCATGTTTGATTAAAAACAATGCATCATTCCTTAATGCTCAGTGTCAGAAAAAAGTATAAAATGTGAAATTCCACCCTGTTAAACATCAAATAACATTTAAGTAAATTTGTTTTAACATTATTGACTTAACAAAAAATATTAATATGCCTTTTCTATTAGTTTTTAAAATATATATATGTGTGTGTGTGTGTGGAGGTTGACGTCAGGTATAGCTGAAATAACTACGCTTTTGTAATAATTAAATTTAATGAAAAAAACAATAGATATACAGCAACCGCTAAGTCTGAGCATTTTGGCTGAAGCAACCGCTAAGTCTGAGCATTTTGGCTGAAGTGTTACAAAAGTGGGGTGGCGCTGCTACAGTGGAGGTTGAATTCCCACACATACATACATACATACATATATATATATATATATATATATGTGTGTGTAATACAAAAATTAAATACTTTTGAATTAATAAAAGCATTAAAACTTCATTCGTTTTCATAAAATATCTTTAGTGAAAGATAAGGGTAGAAATTCTATTTCGGGACTTCAAGGCTAAAAACATGCCAATGAATAATAATTAGATTTATACTTCAAAAGAGAAGTTATTTTAAGATCTTTCACTTCCATATAAGGAAAGATTAAACGATTTGCTATGAGTAATAAATAAATNGTTGCACATATTTTTGCATTATATTTATATTTGTCCAAAATTTGCTTATTGTTAAATTTTTAAAAAGCGTCCTTGCTTCAAATCCCCATAATAATTCAGCAAGCTCATCTTGCAGGTTGATGCCCACGTTTTCAATTTGAGCAGAAAATGGCACAATAATCCAATCAGGGATGTCAATGTTTTCCAAATCAACAAAACGCAGTTTAAAATCGTCGCCCAATTTTTGAAGGTTACCTGTATATATTTCCAAGTCTTCTTTTATTTCTAATTGTCACATATCTGAAAAATACTGATAATCCTTCGACCAATCGACCCTTCCGGTTCTGATCGACCCCCAGGCTCAGATCAACCCCCGCTTATGTTAAATAGACCCCTGGGGGTCTATATAGACCACTTTGGCAACCTCTGGTTTAGCTAAATAAAAAAGATTAGGCCGAAACTGGACTCGTTAATCATGATGCTCTGACTCTTAAATTACTAAAAAATAACGGTGTGGTTCCACCGTTATTTCAAACATACATATATATATATATATATGCCGAGTTACCTCAAACTACACCATAATGTGATGATGTTGGCTATCATCAACTAATTCAATCAATCATATAATCAATAACAATAATATTTATTCTTCAATAATAACATGAGCCACATAGACTCTAACCACTTAGGTTCAAATCACACAGGTTCCAAGTTTTAAATAAAAAAACAATATGATCAATAACAATAACAATAATATTTATTCTTCAATAATAACATGAGTCACATAGACTCTAACCACTTAGGTTCAAATCACGCAGGTTCCAAGTTTTACCTAAAAAAAACCAGTTTCACTTAGAAACTACATCAACTGACTAACTCTTCCTTTACATCGAGAAAGTTCCAATACATTCTTGTTCCGGCGAGCGGCATCTGGCGGGATAACAGAGAGGCTGTAGTCTCGCATGTTACATATATATATATATATGCTAACACTTTATTTTCTTTAAGATTTATGTTAAAAATATCCAACTTTACACAACCTCTGCAGCCCAGAACAATCTTGATAAGATTTATTAAGCAGTAATGTCTCAGGGGGAAGAGCGTTCGCCTTCCAAATGTGCTGAATGAAATGCTTCTTGATAAAAACTTTGTCCCAGCAATTCTGCATTCATTATATGTAATTAGTTTATTGTTGGTTTTGGAATAACTAAACAAAAGTTTAACTAAGTTGTTAAGTATAATTCAGTGAAAAAGGATGAACTATTTATTACGATATGCTAAACTTTTAAAAATGGTGGAACTCTTTAGTATTGTTTGTTTGTATAGAAAATCTCATATATGAGCAAAAGTGACAAACTGGTGTCACAAAAGCAAATTTTTTGAATATATGATCACCTCTGATGAGAGTTGTGTTTGAATTTTAAGAAATTTTGATCTTTTGGTCAAAAATTTCTAGTCTGAGAAGTTTTGTGCTTTCACGTTGGTGATTTTGAAAGCTACAAGTGATTACTCATCGTTGCGAGTTCCATTTCATTACGAGAGAAAAAGTGTTTGATGGTGACGCAAGAAAGAAGTTAAGGCATATAAAAGGGATAATTTTGTTTACAAAACTATGCAAATACAGCATAGAACCTCTTATCCAGCATTCCAGAAACAGAAAACCATCAATTTTGAAAATCAAACTTTTCTATTTTCTTTATTTATCTATGTCAGTAACATGTTACAAATAAATTTATGCTGTTAAAAAACTCAGAATTAGTGAATGCAGCCATGTGAGGAATTATTTTTAAATAAATTAATTATCTTTAAAATTATGACTTTCTCTAATGAAAAAATAAAGAGCTTTGCAAAATTTTGGGTATCTTAAAAGCTAGGCAAATGTTTGTGGAAAACAATAATGCCCTTTTACTGAAGGGTGCCTGTTTAAGGGGGCAAATAATGCCTCTTTCAGTTTCTAATACTTTGCTCTTTTTAAGGTCTAGAATCAACCCTGAATAAATGGATGAAACCTTTATGAAAAATTAAAATTTGACATATGAAAAACTGAAAACAAATATTTAAAAAATAATAATAAATAAATAAATATACGATTTTAGCGCATTTGGAAAGGTGGCGAACGCTTAGCCCGGGGGCCTGAATTTATAAAATTTTTATACATTTCTTACACAACACAGAGATATTTCTGTAACGTAATCTTTCATGCCAAGAACATTTGATAAGGAGCTTTATTGATATTAACTTGCAAATTTAAAAAGAAAAAAAAATTTAGATGTTTGCCTTTTCTAATATGACCCTTTCTGCAATTTTTTTTTCTTTTAATTTTTTAGTCCAGAAGCTGCCAAAATTCAACGAGCAAACGGAATTTTTCACAAATTGCACTTCACAACAACAGCTATGAAAATTCCCCCAAAAAAGAAAACTTCAATAAACTTGAATGAACGAATTAAATTGAACAAAACTAGAAAAACATGATTTTTCTTAAAATTTCATATTGAATAAATGCAACAAAGCCTTACTTGCATTTTTTTTTTTAAAGATAATTTAAATTATGTGGAAAATACTTAATACATTACCTTCCACAAAACAAAAAATAAAAATAGCTAAGTAAAAGATGCTCATCATACAGCCTCCACATAAACTAAATGGGGAAATAAGATCATGATTTAATTGTAAGTGATAATATTATCACATTAATATCTAAAAAACTTTTTATCTTTTCAGTACTTGGATAAGATTAATTTCACATGTTTATATGTCATTTTCAATGTTGCTTTCTGATTATAAATCTGAAACGTTATTGAATGAATAAAAGTTGCTTTTAGCTTACAAATTAACATCCTGGCAACACGCTCATGACATTGTGATTCTTCTATTCCCCAGAGTCTATTCTATTACTCTATGCTTTAAAATGAGGAAATTCGTCTTCTAAAGTCCTTTAAACGAGGCGATTCGAAATCATTTTTCAATATTAACGCAAGGCCCGATATCAGACCTTAATATTGACCCATAATAATTTGGATCACGTATTATATTGCCGATAAATAGTGTACCCTACCAGAGGAAATAATTATAGACCTCATAGGGGGTAGACAATGTGGCTCTTTAATTTCCTATGTATGTATAAATATAATAGTTAATAGTGTGTTGAATAGTGTTTAAATGAAGAAATTCGAAGCCAATATTCTGTATAAAAATATGGTCCAATATCTCCCTCTAATATTAACCTATAATATTCAAATTGGACCACGTATTATATTACCGCGTAATAGTGTACCCTACCAGAGGAAATAATTATAGACTTCATAGGGGATACACAATGTGGCCCTGTAGTTTACTATGTACGCATATCTAAAACAGTGCGTTCAATCGCTTTAAAATGAGGAAATTCGTCTTCTAAAAACCTTTAAAACAAGACGAGTCGATGTCATTTTTCAATATTAACGCAAGGCCCGATATCAGACCTTAATTTTGACCCATAATAGTTTAATTGGATCACGTATTATATTGCCGGGTAATAGTGTACCGCTAATATTCCTTTGTATAAAATTACATTGTGCTGGATATAGAAAAATGTTTTGTTTTTTTAAAATTAAAACGTGGATTTTATAATTTAAATATTTTTTTTAAAAACATTTTTTTTAATGCTTAATTCAGTACTATTATTCATATAATTTAGCTTCCCTTTTGAAATCAAGCTGTTGTAATTGTTTTTATATAATTTTATACATAGTTGTACTGGAACAAAACTATTTATATTCCATATTGAAGTTCTTACGTGGCTCTAATACAAAATCTGTTAACTGCTATTAAGTTAATACAATTAGAACAAACCACGTTACAAAAAGTCTAAGCAAAAATTTTCTAATAAAAATACGAGAAAATAAAATATTAATATTGAAGCTGTGTAATAGCTTCATACTATGCATTTTACTAAAATCTTTCCAGAAATTGCAGTTGGCAAATTTTGCATACGGTTCTTTATTGAATGACTAAAAAAGATGCTATGACTAAAAAAGATGCTTTATATTGCATTATAGCATTAAGTGTGCTTGTATATTTAGTTTAAACGGAAAAATTACTGTAATTTATGAATTCAAAATATATCTGAATAAAATTGATATTTTTAAAGCGTTAAGTTATTTATAATGTTTATTTTTGAGAAATTTATCTTTCTTTAAATATTGTTCCAACTTATTGTTTTTTGCCTACATAGTAATGCCTAGATGTTACTATATTTTCAGAGAGCGAAAGTTAAATTTTACCATTTAATTTTACTTGAATAAATTTAAAACCAAAAAATCTCTGTATATTTTATGAATTTAGAATTTAATAAACTTGATTATTAAAGTGATGTTATTTTTGGTGTCTATCACTAAGAAATTTATCCTTTAATTACTTTTCGGACTTATTGTCTTTTGTGTACATAGTGATTGCTAGATGTTACAGTAATACTTTAAGATTTTCAGAGAGCAAACGTTAAATTTTAGCACTTAAGCTTACGGAATAAATTTTAAGCGCATTTCTCTACATTGATATTTGGACATAAGAGGAGAAATAAAAATGTTATATTTCTTGTACACCAAGTCGAATAATTAACAGATGCACGTTATCTAGCGTTAAGGTATTTCTACAGTAAAATTTTGAATGCTATTCAGCTATCCATTGCCTAGATACGAAATTATTTAAACTTTTTATTTCTTCATAAAAATGTTTTTTTCTATCTTCTATTTTGAATTCTTTTTAGGAAGAAAACTTTTTTTAAATTTTAAGGTGAAGTTTTCTTTGCCGGAAAAATCCATTGTTTAAAGATGGCACGACTAATTTAATCCCAAAAGCATGGCATAAAGGAGTTCAGAGAAAATTAATTTTAAAGAGCAAAGATACTTCAATGAACAGTTAACTAGATATCATTCTGTTAATCAACTCTACAAGATTTTGATTCAAAATTAGAATACAAAGATTAGTGGGGCAAAATTTTTAGTTGAAGAAATATTAAAATAAAATGTACGCATTTGAAAGGAAGTGTATTAATTCATAGTTGAACTAAGTTCCTTCCTAAATTGTGAAACATGTCAGATTATAAACTATTATTGGGAATCGTGTGGGTTTAAATTTACATTCGAATAATACAATATAATGTAGTATATTAGTGAGCAAAAAATACTTTGTATTCCAAAACTTGCTCTCACATTTGCTAAAATTTGCGTAAAAATATAAGCTTATTTAAATCCTTCGTATTACATTAAAAAATGCATGCAGTAAATTTTTTTTCTTCTCAAATTAAAGACTGGATTTCGCAACCAAAAATTTTTAAGAACATATTCTTTGAATGCTCAGTTCCATACTAATTCATATAGTTTTCTTTTTAAAGCAAAGTTGTAATTTTTTTATGTAACTTTATGCATTGCTGTACTAGAACAAATCTGCCAATATTCCTATTCCATATAAAGTAGGCTCTGATACAAAATCTGTCAATTGCTATTAAGTTAAAATAGGGATTAAAACAAACCATGACAAAGTTAAAGCCAAATTTTTTTCATACTACGTAGTTTCATTTCGAAAATTGGAGTTGGCAAACTTTGCACCCAGTTCTTTATTGTAAGACTAAAAAGATGTATATTGGTGTATTTTGAAGTTACAACATTAAGTGTAATTGTATATCTAATTTAAACCCAAAAATTACTGTATATTTTATGAATTTAGAATTCAATAAAATTTAATATTGAAGCGTGATGTTATTTTTGGTGTTTGTCACTAACAAGGGAAACTAGGGAAATGTGACTCGCCAATTTTGAAATAAATTAGTGGGATGTATGTCTTATGAGGAGTAATTTTAGGGGGCAACATTCGTTTCGGCCCATAGAAGGTCCTGTGAAAGATAAAAAATAATTCAATCTATAGAAAAATCGGTCTTTTATTACTTCAATGCAGATTATTAGTTATTGTAATTGTCTCATACTCCAATTAATTATTAATTAATTGGTTAATTAATTTATTTGCTTATTAACAAATTAATTGTTTGATCATTAATTATAGAATTACTAATTAATTAATTATTAATTAATTGATTTGTAATTACATACTCCAATTAATTTGGAAAATTTTTTGGAGAAAAAAAATTTAAAAAATTTGATGTCAATTTTTTTTAAAAATTAACCTAACAGGTTTTTCTGAAAAACTACAGATATATAAAGTTTTCGAAATCCATTTTGACAATAAATATGCATTATATAATACGTGAAAGCAGTACAGTCTTTACGCATGGGCACACCCGGGCAGTGCCCGAGGGCCCAGGCTCTCAGGGGACCCTTGAGAATCTCACTTTTTATAAATATATTTAAAAAAACTAAAAATAAGCAAAATTGCTTTATATTTTTTTAAAAATGAATATATTCCATTGTATAAAGTGTGCATTTTGTTATTCTTTCTAAACATAGTGATCGATCATTATGCAAACAACAGTAATTTGAATAGTTTATCACCGGGAAAACTTAAAAAGTCAACCGAAAACTATTTTTCTACTTTCCAATGAAGTTTTTATGTGGATTCAATCTTTTGGGGAAATCAAAATGTATTTAAACTTGTTTAAATTATTGCATGTGCTAAAAATGCTTTATTTTATGCATGTGAAGTTGTTTTAGTTCGATTTTAAACAGTATACAATGTTATAAGGGCCCAAAAAATTTCTGTGCTCGGGGGCCCTGCATGCTATTAAGACGGCCCTGCGTGAAAGTACCACAAAATTAATTGGAGTATTAGATAATTACAATAACTAATAGTCTGCATTGAAGTAATAAAATACCGATATTTCTATAGATTTTTTTTATCTCTCACAGGACCTTCTATGGGCCGAAACGAATGTTGCCCCCTAAAATTATTCCTCATAAGACATACATCCCACTAGCTTATTTCAAAATTGGCGAGTCACACTTCCCTAGTTTCCCTTGTAAGAAATTCATCTTTCTTTAAATATTGTTCAGCCTTATTGTCTTTTGGGTACATAGTGATTGGTAGATGTTACCGTAATACTTTAATATTTTCAGAGAGCAAACCTTAAATTTTAGCACTTAACCTTACTTGAATAAATTTAAATGCATTTCTCTTTAAGCTACATTATATTTTGACTTCAATAAATAGAAGTGTATTTCTATTGATATTTTAACATAAGAGGAGAAAAATGCTTTTATTTTGCAGACCTAGTCTAATGATTAATCAAAGGTAAGTTTTATATTGTTATGATATTTTTACAGTAAAATTTTCATTATTCAACTATGCATTGCTTAGACGTGCAGTTGTTCAAATTTTTATTTTCTCATGAAAATGCTTATTCCGTTTTTATCAATTTTTAGCAGGAAACCTTTGAATTTGATGGTAAAATTTTCTTTGCTAAAAAATAAATCCAATGTTTTAAGAAGTGGCAGACTTGTTCAATCCCCAAAGCATAGCACAAATGAGTTTAGAAAATATTTAATTTAAAAAGCAAAGAAACTTTAATGAACAGTTAACTAGATATTATTCTCTCAACTCTTAAAAAACTTTGATTCAAAATTAAAATACAATATTATATAAAGTTTAAGTGAGATAAAAATTTTTGAGTGAAGCAATAATAAAATAAAATGTATATATTTGAAAGGAAGTGTGTTAATTCTCAGTTAAACTAAGTTACACAAATTACTAAATGACACAAAAAATTTGTCAGATTATAAACTGCTATTGGGAATCGTGTGAGTAACATCTTGGAAATTGAAAATTTCCGAAAGTAATTATACATCGGAAACCATG